CTTTGGTGGAGTAGGACGCTGGGCTCAGAAACCATGCCAGGATCTTCCCCCACATGTCCCCCCCCCCACTGAGCCGTAAAAGGAATCACCAGTGATGAGGGGAAGGGATTTCCCCCCTGCAAGCATTGGGATTCCCCCCTCCTTGAGTATTGCTTGTCCACACTTGTCTTTTCCCCCCCAAGTATGTGTTTAAAAGGAGATAGAGAAGAAATATAGTTGTAGATTAAAATCTATTTCTTCAAGAAGAAAATTGAAGTAAATTTGCACATCTCTGCTGATAATAGTAGTATCAATTACTGAAATCCTGCGTACAACACAGGTACAGAGTTGTTTAGCTTCCTCATAAGAACATAAGAACATAAGACTGTTACAGCACAGCTGCAATGGGGCTTCCACAGTACTGGTTTTCCAGTCACCCAGTAATGGCTAATGTCCCCCTCTGGCCGCTAGGGCTTTTTCAGATTTTTTTTTTAAATCAGCAAATGAATAATGTTGTAGTGATATGTTATAACAACTGTATATCATATTCTGTGAATTCCCAGTTGTTGTTTTTTTAAGTGTCTGTTACCTTCCGTTGTGGTGATACAAGGGGAAAGGTTTATCTCCACAACAAAATGGAGAGTTTTTAAAATGAAAGTTGGGAATTCACAGGAATTGATAGAGAGTTTGTTATAATCTCCCTTATAAATAAAAGGCGAATGGGATCTCGGACAGGTACAAAGCCATAGACTCCACCCTCCAAACCAACTATTCCCTTCTGGGGAACCATTGTTGCCAGTCTCCAGGTGAGGGCTGGAGATCACTCAAAATTACAACTGTTCTTTAGGTAGCAGAGATCAGTTCCTCTGGAGAAAATGGTGGACTCAGTGTCATTATACCCTGCTGAGGTCGCCACAGCAAATTGACACTGAGTGTCCAAGGCCGGGGCACCCACCCAGAGCCTCTTTCTAGAGGTCGTTGTATTTATTTCCACAACAGGCCTTTTTCCTAGTGTTATATAATATTCAATTGCTGATTGAAAAAACAAAAGCAGCCCCATGGTGGCAGGGGGCAAGGAAAATGGTTTCCGTGTGGATGAGACTGGGAAGATCCAAACTTCCCACTCACATGGCAGCCATTCAGGCTTTTCTTCAATTTCTCAAAACCTCCCAGCAATGCAGGTTTGAAAAAGATCATAGAGAAGCTGGGAAACCCTAGCAGGTACACAAATGTACCACAAAGCTGTGGGGGAAGCAGGAAGACTCTTTTCCAATGCATCAGATCCAGGGCAAACAACCCATTTGGAAATGTCTTAAACTGCATTACTAAGGAAATATCAGCAGACCTACAGTTATTGCTGGAAAGGTTTTTATATGAGAATCTTTTAAGAGAAGGGATGTTGAATATGAAGGAAATGTTTCACTTTTTTTGCAGATCAGAAAGCTTATGGGATTGATGTCTACACGGAAAAAGAGCATGTCACAGCAAGAGAATTTGAGGGTATAGTATGTGCATGTACTTTTACATTACAGAAAGTATATTGTGGTGCTGAGTAGAAAAAAAGGTGGTAAGACAAAATTACAGTGGGATATTCTGCTGTTAATCACTGGGCATAGACAGCTGTTACGAATATATGAAGCTGCCTTATACTGAATTAGACCATCAGTCTATCAAGGTCAATATTGTCTTGCCTTACTGGCAGCAGCTGCCTGGGGTATCACGCAGAGGTCTTACACATCACCAGCTACCTGATCCTTTTAACTGGAGATGTCAGAGACTGATAAACCAAAAAGGTTGAAGAACATATAAAATCTAGGAATTACATAATCCTAGTAAAACAATTCATCTTTAATCAATACATAAGATATAGAAGTTAAAAACAAAAAATATTATACAGACCAAGGTAAGAAAAATATAGATAAAAATCATGTAGACCAAATGCATTTCAACTAAATAGTCTTCTTTGGTTGTCTCTAAAAAACAGTCCTGATTCATAAAAGTACAAATATAGTAAAAAATCAGCAGTCTGAATACAATATATAGTTGGACTAAGCCCTTTCAATAACTCTTTACAGGATATCAAAAAAGAAAATAGAAAATTTAAACATTATTTAACTTTTAACAGTCAACATTTATTTTTTTTTACCCAACCATGATATACTGTTTTCACTGCATAGGATATTTGCAAGGTCACTAAAATGTTGCCATGTAGTCACTTCAGATGGCATTATTAAAGACTCTTAAATATGACTGTTTTGCTGGACTGTGAAAAGAGTGTGTCAGAGCAATGGACAGAACTGTAGCCCAAGAGCAGTGCCCTTATACTGGACTATGGAATGTACTTTGGCCAAGGGGAGCTTTGTGCCTAAGCAGCATGCCAAACCAAATGTGAACCCTGGGACTACAGAAGCCTCCTGCTCCTCCATCTCTGCCAGCCCCAGAATGCAGACCAGCAGCCCTGACCTCCATGCACGCAGGAACAGCAGCAGATCACCAGAAGGAAGCCATGCTCTGTAAAAAGAACAAGATGTTCCTGCACAGAAGCCATAAGAAATTCCCTTCTCCATCATGCAGGCATTTCCCACCCACTCACCCTCACATATTAACCCAAGACAAAAGGATGTGCCCAATGACAGCAATAGCCATCCATCAAGCTTTCCTTTCACCCATCAAGATAATGCCACTGTCAAACATCTGGTCGTTAATCCAAATCACCTGCCCTACAACGTGAGTGGTTCTCTTCCTTCCCTCCTTTGTCTACCCCCTTCCCTAAGAACGATCTCAGTGCTAGATGATCCTATGGAGGGCTAACTCCTGGTACTTATAGACCGCAGAGCTCAAACTCTATAATACTCTAAAAATCACCTGTAAAGAATTTCTGAAGGCTTGAACCATTGACTCTATCTTAAATATTTGTGAAATGTTTGGAATGCTGACGGAGCAATTAGTATTTTTGTTATGACCAGGGCTTCTTTTGTAGAAAACACCCAGCAGGAACTCATTAGCGTAATAGGCCACACCCAACAGAAACTCAATAGCATATTAGGCCACACCCTGACAGTGCAGCTCGTTAGCATATTAGGCCACATCCCCATGCCTTCCCTTGGCTTGCCCAGGTGCCCTGCAGCTGTGGGGACCCCAGCCAAGCCGGCCCTTGGACAGGCTGGGGAAGGCACAGGGAGGCATTTGAATGCCTCCCCAATCCTTCCAGGGGGCCCACTGGCCCACCCACCTCAGAGTTGCCGGGGGGGTCACTCTCCAGGCCTTCCCTCTGTAGCCACACATGCAGAGGTTTTGGCTGTAGTGGGCGTGACCAACTCTGAAGCCAGCCAGAACTCCGTTCCTGTGCGTTCCTGCCCAAAAATAGCCCTGGTTATGACATATCAAGTGCCTTTCCCCCATGCTGTCCTTTTAGGTTAAAAGAACTGGTGTTTCAAGGATTTTTAATTATTTAAAAAAACAGAGGAGGCAAGTCTAGAAAGCTGGTAAATATGCCTTATCTTCCATACTCAGCTGCTACCAATCTTTCCTTGTGACTGCACAGCCCAAAGGAGTTTTGGGTCTTCTCTAGAGTGCACAGTTCACACAAGGCAATGGAAATGTGCTACTATAATCCCAGCCAATTAACTGAATATGCATCCTAGAACATTCCCCAGAGACTTCTGAAATGCATACCATTTCCATTGCAGACATACAGGGATACTTTGGCAGAAAAGTTATGTAACATTGGTTCCACAGAGGTAGAAAATCTGAAAACCAGTTCCTGAAAGTGTGTGTGGAGAAATGTCCTAAATCCCAGGATTCACATCAGAGTTAATAATTGGGTCTCCACTCTTTACTTGCTAAAAGGGCTTTTGTACAGATTATTAGTTGGCGATGGGAAAGCTGCAGGGAAATGAGTCGGCTTCCCGGAACAGGGCAATTCAATGCCAGTGGATGTACAGATGGCTCTGGCAGGAGGAAGACACAACTGGAAGGTTAGCCAAAAGGATATAAGATCTCTGGGTGTGAAGATGAAGCTGTTTTTAGATCAGCTCTGCTCATCAGCTTGGTTCAGTTCACATGAAGGATTAAACCATGGACATCATCTTGAGCACTTAGCTGAACAAATGGAAGGAACCCACACCTGGGAACCTGGGATGATGGATGGTTTCTGAACATTGCAACTTCAAGAATAAGTAGCCTGTCCTTAGTCTAACCATCTTGTAGGGTATGTACAAAAGTTATATTGCTTTTCATTTTGATCCTTATTTAGTTTGCTGTGTAAATAGACCATAATTGAACTTTATAATTCAGTCATACTTATCCAGGAGAAGCAAGGGGAGGGGGCGGCTGCAAATACCTCCATCCCCAGAGTGTGCCAGGGTGCAAGCAAGTCCCCACAGTAGCTGGTGAGTGTGATGCAGGAGACAAGGCAAAGAGGAACAGCTTTTAAGCACTGGTGTGGTAAAGAGTGCCAAAGTGCTAGTCTTTCAGCAAAATATATTCTTTAAGACTAGAAAGGTGGCATAGGAAATACCATGAGAGAAAAGTTAGTAGGTTGGAAGTAAGGGAAGGCAGATCTTTCCAAACTCCCACAGAAGTGGATAGAAATGTACCTTGCAAGCAGAATTTTCCCAGTGTGACAGAGGACCAAATGTCTTTAAAGAAAAATGAGAAGTCAAAAGAATAAAATGTTCCAGTTGGTTATTAAAAATTTTGTTGTCAGTAGACCCAATCCAAGGTATATGGAGGTACTGCTTCATTTTCTTCAGTGTCAAGAAATTCCTCATGTTTGTAATCCCATGGTGCAAATGGAACGTTCCCCAGTAATTATGAACAAGCTTGAAACAGTGGTCTATGTGTAAACTTGTGGAGTGATGGATTATTGCCAGTATCATGAGCTGGAGGTCTGTTTTGACAGTTGTTTTGTGAACAAGTGATTTTTATTCCCTTCCATTATTTTTCTCCCCATGTTTTGTTTTGGTATCTCTACCTGCTGCTTACTATTGATTTACAATGACCTTTCTTGGGAATCATTTATGCTGTTATCCTCTTCCACAACATTTCCTGTGGCTGAACGGATGCCAGAAATAAACGGGAACTAATACAAAGTGTGCCAACTTTCTCAAACAGTAGATAATATAAAAGAGCTACTGGGGAAAAGGGCATAAGTGCTCTCTGGAAACTGCGGTATTGTACCTCTGGGGTTCTGTTCATCTTTAAGTTTCAGATAAACTTATTTGATGTATTTCTTTGACTGTTGTATGAATTTTCTCTTCAGATACAGATACCTAGCACTGATTTTAATGCAAACCATGTGTGTGTTCTGTTAGTCTCCTTCCTTCACTTTCTGACATAAATTTTCCCCTTTTGCTTTCTAATCATTTTTTGTTGTTGTTCAGTAGCACAATTGAGTCCGACTCTTCGCGACCCCATGGACCAGATCTCGCCAAGCCCTCCTGTCTTCTGCCGTCCTCTGAAGTTGGCTCAACTTCATGTTCGTTGCATCTATGACACTGTCTAACCATCTCATCCTTTGCCGTCCCCGTCTTCTTTGACCTTCAATCTTTCCCAGCATCAGGGTCTTCTCCAGTGAGTGCTCCCTTCTCATTTGGTGGCCAAAGTATTTGAGCTTCAGTTTCATTATCTGGCCTTCCAGGGAACAGTCAGGGTTGATTTCTTTTAGGATTGACTGATTTGATCTTTTTGCAGTCCAAGGGACTCTCAAGAGTCTTCTCCAGCACCATAGTTCAAAAGAATCTATTCTTCGGCGCTCGGCCTTCCTTATAGTCCAGCTCTCGCAGCCATACATGACTACTGGGAATACCATTGCTTGGACCATGCGTATTTTTGTTGGCAGGGTGATGTCTCTACTTTTTATCATGCTGTTTAGGTTCGCCATCGCTTTCCTCCCAAGGAGCAGGCGTCTTTTAATTTCATGGCTGCAGTCACAGTCTGCGGTGATCTGGGATCCCAGGAACGTGAAGTCTGTCACTACTTCCATGACTTCCCCTTCTATTTGCCAAGGAGTGATGGGGCCGGATGCCATGATCTTAGTTTTTTTGATGTTGAGCTTCAAGCCCACTTTTGCGCTCTCCTCTTTTACTCTGAGCAAGAGGCTCTTTAGGTCCTCTTCACTTTCTGCCATTAGAGTGGTATCGTCTGCATATCTGAGGTTGTTGATCTTTTCCCCAGCAATCTTAATTCCGGCTTGTGATTCATCCAGGCCAGCATTTCGCATGATGTACTCTGCATATATATTAAATAAGCAAGGTGACAATATACATCCTTGTCGTACTCCTTTTCCTATGCTGAACCAATCAGTTGTTCCATATCCGGTTCTAACTGTCGCTTCTTGGCCCTTATACAGGTTTCTCAAGAGACATGTGAGGTGGTCTGGTACTCCCATCTCTTTAAGGACCTGCCATAGTTTGTTGTAATCCACACAGTCAAAGGCTTTAGCATAGTCAATGAAGCAGAAGTAGATGTTTTTCTGGTACTCTCTTGCTTTCTCCATA